TCACCACATAATCCTTTGCTGAACAGTACACATGTCTAGAAGAAAACGCAATTGCCAACAAAAACACCATCAGAAAGAAAAATCTTTAAGCTAAAGTATCTGTAAAACTCTATCAGGTTCAAGGAATTCAAGCAATTACTGAGAGACTGAGACCTACCCACTTTTTCTCCACAACTCAGTGGCTAATTCTGGTCTGTGCAAGCATCCATTACTAACAAACTAAATCAGCAAGTTTGCTACCCAGAAATAAATTAAATACAAGAGTGATGCAGAATGATCTCTAGAAACGGACATGCCACAGGCAGATTGACGGGAAGCTCTTCTCCTCCACAGCTGTTGCTCAGCTTTAACCACACCTTCCCTCTGCCCCACGTGCCAAGTTCTTATTCCCTACCTTTGATTTTCATCTGCCACCTTCCCACTGCACACATACCGTGACATCCTGCAGAGTAAGACCTGGTGGAAAGAACTCACAGAAGTCTTGCTCAGATTTCCGGCACGCTATTTTGAATGCTATCTGCAAAACTCAAGACTTATGTCTTCTCTTGCTCCCTCTGCCTCCGTTCAGTGCTACACCAGACAATGACAGCTTCAACAGCTGATTACTGCTTTTTTAGCTAAATTTCTCTGTCCTTGGTGACACTACCCAGCCTCTTTGTAGGAAAGCTGCTACACAAATGTTTCAATTAAAAAAAAAAAAAAAAAAAAAAGACTCCCTTCCAGTTTCTAGAACAGCTAACTGCAGGATATGAGAAATCCACTCACTGATAGAATTTATTTTCTAAAGGAGCATTACTAACTTAAGGATGTTACAGGACACAGTCAGAGCAGTCAAATCCAGAGCACTCAAGGACTTCAGAAAGCTGCAAGATGCTCTAGCACATAGCATCATTTTGAAAATTGACCAGTGCCCAGGAAATGACAAGCAGCAGATAAATATTTACAGTCAGGTCAACTTGTTTGAGATCAAGAACAGAAGTAATTCAGCAACTAAAAGAAAAAAGAAAAGCATTGGAGCAGGCTTGAACAGTATGCAGCCTATAAAGCACATTTTTAAGCTGCTGGTGGCTGAGGAGCAGTGGGTGTGCTGCCATAATGCAAGAGATAGGAGAGAGTTAAAACTGAGCTGTTCAAGTTTTAGCTCTTCTATCAGGCCACAAAGGAGTGGGAATGAAACAAAGCTAGAAGAACATAATGGCAATTGTCAAGCTGTCCAGGAACTCCCCCCTCAATAAAAGGGACAGGGCAGGGACAGGAGATGGGTAGTGTTGGGTGTGGGGAGAGCACAAGTAGGAACAGTTGATGGATCAGATGCTTCTTTATATGGTGATTAAGTCCCAGTCTGTAATTACTACCTCCCAGTATTACTGTAACACTAATAAAGGACACAACATTTCTGAATTGAAGTTTCAGCTAATAAGCAGAGCCCTCAATAAAGAGCAGAGAGTCACCTAGCAAAAAAAAACCATTATAAAGCTTCCTTCTTATCAGCCTCTGTATAGAGAGGGAAGAAAAACCTCAGCTGAGTGAGATTCGGGTGAGCAGGTAGGCGAGCAACCCTCAGCAGCTATCTAGGACAGGATAGGCAGGAAACAGAAATATGTGCACGTACAAGTGCAGCAGCCGATAAGAGAAAGGGAAGAGAATTGAGGAGGAGATGGAAGAAGAAAAACCTGGAAAACAACAGGATGTTACTGAGCTAGAGTGTCAGTCGTGCAAGTGTATAGTCACTCCAAAAGCAGTTGGCTGTTTATACCTGTTTATACCTACTACCATGCAGACACCTCTCAGCATACAGAATGATCTACTGACAGCCCGGGCTAGGTAGGACAACATCAGCTAGCCAATTTTAGACAGTCTGGTTAGTTTAGAGAAAATCCAAATACAAAACCTCAGATTCCTCACACTTCACCTTATTTATTGTCCTTTTCCTTGCAGACTAGAATTAGAGAATGTGTATGGGTTTAAAATAGGCTCTTGTAAATCAATGAACTTTTTCCCCATAGACAGATTTACATAACGTCCCTCTCTTGGCCTGTATCTCAAGACTGCTTTTCCCTTTTTCATGAAGTATCCAGAATCAGTATAAGCAACAGCAAGTTCAATGGCATAACACCAGCAGCTATACAAGTTAAGCCAGAACTAAATGTGAAGTGATAACCTTCGTATTATCAATTCCATTTGATTTACTTCACACCATCAAAAACAATTACCCTTCCTTAAAACCTTTGATCAACAACCCATTTACCCCTGTGAAAGAATCCAGCTGCTAGTTAAAGCTCAGAGAACAGAACTCCAAGATTTTACAGGTATATCTGATTAACAAAACATTTTTGAAGACACAGTCTAGAAAAAAAATGTTAATTCCAGCATGCTATGGAGCGGATTTATTTATGATTCATTCCCTCTAGTAGGATATGCTTGTTTACAGAGCTTGGACTAGATATGGTAAAGGTTAAAGATTCAATAAAGGCTCCTGTGACTGCTATGACATGATGCCAACCCTTGCACAACATTTGAAAACAAAGATAGTATTCTGAGACGACAGACTGCTGAACCCAACAAAAATATCATAAAGAACAGGTTGCAAGTGGTTTGGGGCTTTTGGGCTTGTTTCATATGTAAAAGTCTTTTTAACAAAAATAATAATAAGGAAGTTGGACTTTAAAAAAAGTCCATTCGGAACTGTCCCTACAAAATTGCCTTCTCAAAGCTGTAATAGTGCATGCTGGATTTCCCAGCATGTGAGGCCATGCTGGCCCCCACCCACACAGCTGCAGGGAGAGCAGGGCCCCAGGGGCTGGCATTCCTCAGGTGCTGGGAATTACCCGTTTCACCCGTGGCACTGCATGTTGGCTCATTTAGCACCCCCAGTAAAACGGTACACCCAGTTCTCCATACACAAACTGAGTAAACCACAGAGTTGCAACATATGCATACAGGAGTAGTAAGATTATTTGGTAGAGTCTATGCATGCTGCATTTCTATCCATTTTGGTCCTATTACTTGAAGTAAAACCAGTAAAAATTAGTACTGCACAGGGACAGGTTCTGTTAAAAATTGCTGCTGTGAGTGCAAATCTAACATACTCATAAAGATTTGGAAATTGGCTGTATTTGGTTAAGCGAACTAAGCTGCGCACTTTACATGGTGAGCTAACAGAAAAGCTTTGGAGTGACTGCTGTGTAGTAGCAGCATCTCCACTGCATACTCATCTCTCCAGACAAGAACAAAACATATATACACTGCAGCTTCTGCAGGAATGAGACCAAACCTTGATCCAGAAAAAGCAGAGGCAAGAAACAACAAAAAAATAGGGCTTTCCCAATAACCCAGAGGTGTCACTATGTTTCCATCCTTCCAGAGCCAGGAGCTCTGACAGGAGGTATCAAAGAAGCTCCTGTCCCTGGGCCCTACTCACTGTGGCAGAAGGGTGGAGGGAAAGTGGAGGCCTCTAAGGATGCATGAGAGAGGGTGGAAGTCAGTGCATCACTGCTACCCCTGCAGACAAACTACCAAGTCTGACTCTTCCACTGACAGTCCCTCTCACCAATACACCTTTGCGTATTTGTGAGCTGACTAGTAAATCTGTGGCAGTGATGGACAGATTTCCTTCTACTCTTGCTGAAGCTTTAGGAAACTGAGCTTTCCTGCAACACCACAAGCACTGACTGTGGGAGATAAGCAAGGGAACAGGAGAAGACGGAACGTAATGCATTTCTGTACCAGTGAGGAGCAAAGGGCTGCACCTGTTCTGATCCCTGGAAACACAGGGATTTATTTCAGCAAGTGAAAACCAAGTGGTGCTCAACAATCTCCACAACTGTACTGCCACTCTATGGAAATATGGAGCGTGCCGTATGAAGAGATTTTTTTTCCCCATCTAGACATTCCTTCTCAGCTAGCAGAAGTGTTGCTTTACTGGTTGGAGGTGCCACATACAGCAGCCCAAGAGTCACATATGTGATTCAGCATTGTAGGAAGGGACACTGGGAACTGCAGCCCTGGCACACGTTACTTCCAGCAGCACATCACTGTGCCGGCAGACAGCAGCAGCTCTCTTCTTTGCTGCACAAAACTGAAGCCCACAAGGCTACAGATGTTTGCAGCAGGTGAGTCCAAAGCACTGGCACCTTAAAGAATCATAAAGGCTGGAAAAGACCACTAAGAACATCCTGTCCAACCATCAGCCCAGCCCCCCATGCCCACTAACCACTTCCCTCAGTGCCACACACACGTGTTTCTGGAACACCTCCAGGGACAGTGACTCCACCACCCGCCTAGACAGCATGTGCCACTGCCTCACAGCTTTTTAGCTTAGAAAAATCTGAGTTAACACGGCTGGAGGAGAAATCCAGACCACGTTGGTGACAGTGTTAACAGAACACTGGTTCAACTGGCGGAACGCACAGATCGCATTTCAGAACAAAAAGAAGACATGAAGAAGAGTTCCCCCCCACGTTCCTCTGCGGCAGGAGGTAAGTCAGCGCACCCGAACAGACCCGGGCTGTCTCTCGCCTCCCAGCTCTCCCCCTCCCACTCCCGTTTCCCACCAGCTGAGGCCCCGCAGCTGCACCAACAACAGCGCGTCTGTGCCCGGGCCGGCCGAGCCGGGCGCCCCTCGGCAGCTCACTGCCCGCCTTATACTTGAACAGAGGTAGCAAACTGTGAAGGGGCTGAAATGACAGTAATGAATATTCATCGCAGTCCTTCACGGAGGGTGCGATCTCACGCGGCGGACCTGAAGGGAATCACCAATCAGGCCGACACAACGGGGCTCGGTTCTGCGCCCTCGGCGCACGGCCGCACGCAGCCGCCTCCGAGCAGCGCGGGGGCGCGGGCACGTGCTGCGGCGCTCGCGGAGACGCGCGGCGCGGGGCAGCGCACGCGCAGGCACCCGGCGGGGCGCGCGCACGTCCGCACCGGCGGCCACGTGCGCGCGGGCACGATCCCGCCCGGCCGGCGGCTCTCGGCCCGTCCCCACTCAGTCCCGCACTCACTTTCGTCCTGCCGTTGATGCGGTAGTTGCCCAGCTTGCCGTTGCAGTGGCGGATGAGATCGTCCATGCTGTTCATGAGCAGGCGGATGGTCTGGCAGCCGGGCTCCTTGCCCTCCACCCAGGTGATCTTGTCGCCGCGGATGTCCTTGGAGGAGTCGCTCTTCTGGCTGACCAGCTGCCCGTCGGTGAAGCGGCCGGTGTGATGCAGGGCTCGCACTTCTTGGGCCACCAGCCCGCCCAGCTCCTTGCCCAGGAAGTCGTCCACCACGCAGATGCCGTGCTTGTTCATGCAGGGCACGATGTACTCCAGCGCCAGCCGCTGAGGCACCAGCGACTTGGTCTGCCCGTTGGGGCGCAGCGCGGCCCCTCCGGGCCCCGCCTGCACGCCGCCCGGGTACAGGTTCGACTTGTCCCGGTACAGCAGCACCGCCTCCGCGGCGGGAGCCGAGGCCGGGGCCGCCGCCTCTCCGCCTCCGGCCGCCGCCGCCGCGACGCGGTCGTCGTCCGGCGGGGCGGCCTCGCCGGAGGGCTCGGGGCCCGACGCCGCTCCCTTCGCCGCCGCCTTATCCGGGCGGCCCGCGGCCCCGGCGCCGTGCGCGCCGCGTGCGCTGCGGGAGCCGTGGGCGCGGGGCGGCGGGGGCTGAGCGCCGCGAGGCTCCGCAGCGCCCCCTGCCGCGGCCGCCGCGCCTCCCCCGCGGCAGATGAGCTTGTGCTTCTTCCAGTCCTGCCGCTGGTGCTCCTTGCTGCAGTAGAAGGAGCTGCGGCAGCGCCCGCACCGCAGCAGGTTCTCCATCTTCCCGCACAGCTCGCAGTACTGCCGGTCCCGCTCGCTGCTGCCGCTGCCGCCGCCGCCTCCGCCGCCGCCGCTGCTCCCGCTGCCGCCGCCGCCGCCGCCCTGTCCGGCGCCGCCGCCGTTGTCATTCGCCATGGCGCTGGTGGTGCAGCCGCAGCCCCGCTCCGCCGCCGAGCGTTATGTAAGGAGGCGGGCGGGAGCGGCGCTACGCGGGCCCCCGCCCGGCCGCGCTGGGAGCAGCGCTCACTGCATCATGGCCGCCCGGCTCGCCGCGGCCCCCGCCGCCCTGCGCGTCCGCCGGCCCGCGGCCTCCCTCCCTGCTCCTCGGGGCGGCCAGGCGCTGGGCTGCCGCGGGGGCCCTCCCTGCGCCTTTAGCGCCGCTTCATCGCCGCCCCGCCAGCGGCGGCGGAGGGCCGAGGGGCGGGCGGGCGGCTGGCGCGATGCGCGGCCGCTCTCCCGAGTGCGCGGCCCGGCGCGGCCGCCGCCTCTGCCTCTGCCCGCCGCGCCTCAGCGCCGTGTCGGGGCGAGGAGGAGGCGCCACGCTCGCGGCCCGCTCTGCACGTACGCCACTTCCAGCCCGCCAGCGCCGCCGGCGCGTCAGGCGGGCGGGGCCGCGCCGCCGGCGGGCGGGGCCGGGCCGGGCCGGGCGAGCAGCGCCGCTTCGTGCCGCGCCGTGCAGAAGGCCGGGGAGGTCCGCCGTGCTGCGGAGCTGCTGGCGGGGCGGGGCTGGGAACCTCAGACCGAGCCCCTGCTCCCGGCGCTGCGAGCGTGTGGCACCGGCGTGCCGAGGGGCAGCGGGTGATGGAAGTTGGGCCGCGGGTCCGGCGGCAGCGGCCGAGCAGAGGGTCGGGTTTTGTCACTCCGTAGGCCCCCACATAACCCGGCGGAGCAGGAGGCAGCGCCGGCACCGTCGTAAATAACGTGCGGCTTCTATTCGACCTAACCGGCCCTGACATACGCCGGTGTCAGGCGGTTTAAATAACGCAGCAGGAAGAGAGAGCAGGTGATGGGGCCGTGAAACCACGAGGAGCTGCCGTGAGTGGGACAAAGCCCCACAGGAAAAGGAAATGGGTTTGGCAGAGCAACGGGAGCTGCGGGGACCGCAGAGAAGAGACGCCATGGAGGGAAGCGAGTCCCGGCACTGTCACATCGGCTGTCAGCAGCCACGCGAGGAGCTCTGGGATGACGCGTGTGCTCTGATCCACCCAGCTTAGCTTGAGCCTTGCTGGCTTGCAGTAGATGTCATGTAAATGCTGTGTATCCTGTACTTCTGTGGTGTACGACCCAACACACTGTGTCGAGGTGCAGCATTCAGCAAACTCGGCGCTAAGCTCTAGCAGCTGTCCTTCCTGGCTATGAGGTTCATCTGCACTGTGGCCCAGCAGGCAAGCGGAGCAGAAACCTTGGTTTGCTGAACTGTGCAGGGGCACTCAGCTGCTGTATGCCTCTTCTCAGGACAGAAATCCATCCTAAAGTCGGAGGGGACCAGAGAAAGGAGGCAATGTGCAGACCTGGGAGTAGAAAAGCAAAATGAGTCCTTTGGTTAGTAATTGAAAATGAGCTGTGTGAATGTTCTGCTCATGCTCTGCCAAAGTCTCTTGTCATTTTGGGGAAATTGTTTGGGTTTTTTTTCAGCACTGAGGAACAGACACCCATATTGTTGCTCCTCACAGGTTGTTGTGAGGGCAAGGATTGTGAGGGGGCTTCATCTATGCAATTAAAGCAGCTCATTCTTATCATCTCTCTATATAGACCTAGATTTAAAATTAAGCAGGACTTGTAAGAATGTCAGGCACTGCTGGTACTATGTGAGGGCTGTAACAGGGAGAAACAAAGCACACCACGGTCACAAACATCCATCATATGCGCTCAGAAAATGGAAAGGAAAACCAGGGTGGATTATGAGAAAGGCAGAAGGAGGACTGAGAGGACAAGGTCATGTCATACCCATGAATCCAAGGTGAATGAGATCAGGAAGTGCCTAGGCCAACTGAAAAACAAACAAACAAACAAACAAAAAAAAACCCCAACAAAATAACAACCACAAAACCTGAAAGAACTGGAAAAGCTGGGAACAAGAACCAGATAGGGCTACAGGTCAGTATTTGCTGTGTTCATTGCTCTTAAAGGAAGGAGAGCATAATAGTAAAGGCTGAAGGAAGTGGTTTAAAGTCAGGATTTGAGTCCAGAACATAATGTGGACAGATTCTTAATCCAAGTCTAATGGGAATTGCTCTTTACATCCGGGAATATGAGGTATGTCTGATTTTTCATTTGTTGTGTAGTCCTTCAGCAAACATCATGGAGATGAATGTCACAGACTCCATCATTCTATGAAACCATGAAACCAGTAAGAAAAGGACTAAGGTACAAATGTGGCATCAGGCTAAAACCTGATGATAGTTATTAATTCGTGGGCTAATTTGGCTTCAGAACTTCTTTGTTCTTTTTCTCTTTCCCACATGTCAATTAAATGTCTTAACTTTTACATTCGCTAATGTGCTGAACTACGTCAAGTTCTCTTGACATAACATGTTCCCAGCGTGGTCAGAAGAAATAACAAAACCCATTTTAAATATGTGAACCATTTGGCAGTGCTTCACCAGGGACACAAAACAAAGTAATAATGGTTGTATTCCATTGACAAAACTGAAATAAAGTGTGGCGATGGTAGGGAAGTTCTGGAAAACAATGAGTATTTTTATCACAATCGTATCTACAACATGCTAGAAATGTTTTCCAAGCATATAAAGACTCTATTCATTGCCAGAGAGCTTGTTCTTTAAAAGACAGCGTAAGGGCAAAGTGTGACAGAAAAGAACATGCAGTATACAAAGCAAAATGACCACAGGATGGCTGCCAAAACTAAGGGGGAGGGCATTGCTTCCCCCCTTTTCTGCAGGTAATTCTTCACATGCTCCTGAATTTGACATTTCCAAACAGCTCATGTTTTTTGTGTGTCAGTGAGTGTTGGAAAATGGCTTGATTGGTGACTAGGTAATGATGAGACACTATTGATCCACAGAGAATGCAGATAAAAAGTTTTCAAAGCTGTACCAGTCCTCACAGGAGGGTGATGTGGGATAAAGTTAATGCAAGGTTGGAGTTGGGTTTTTTTTCTTTTTTTTTTTTTTTAATATAGATCTGATATGTTTATTAGAAATGCCTAAAAAAATAGGTCAGTCAGTGAATAGCTTTTCTGTTTTCATTGAGTAGTAATAATAGCAGCGTTTATATATCCTTGCAGGTACTCTATATATCTGGGGTTCTGCAGTGTTCAGGTTGTATAAGCAATCGAGAAGAATCTTTGAAGCCCAGGGAAAGAAGGGAGTGCAGAATAGCAACATGAGGGGCATCGAATTCACAGAACCAAATCATCTTAGAAATAAATGAATCCCATCTTCAGACAGTTTGCTGTCAACAAGATAAAAGTCCCTTAGGACTCAAGGCTGAGATTTTCACTGGTGCCAGAAACCACCTGAAGCTGCACAGAAGGTCCTGCAGCTGGGGACAGTGTGAGGCATTGGTCAGACAGGGATGTGGCTGTGATAGTGTCACTATTCAGGTTTAGGACATGTGGGCTTGTAGTACTTGCTCTTCCCTTCCAGACCACCCCACGTCAGCCTGCCTTATTCCACCTAAGCCGTTATTCCTTGTTCTCAACAGTGGCATTTTTCAGGCTCGCTTTTAATGCCAGCAAGTGAACTGTAACAGGTTTGCAGCTTTTCCAAATAAAACTAGAGAACTGCTTGTCTCTGTTGGATTCTCTTTAAGCTTACTTCCTTTCTAATCAGGACAAACTGTACAAAGTACACTCGCAGGGCTATGCAAGTATTCTTCTGTTGAATGCACACTTTTCCTGAGGTACTCAAAGGGTTAGCACAGTTTATTCATCTCTAAAACACTGCCCCCATTTCTGCAAAGCTAGGGAGGGTTCATCTAGGAGAGATGGTGCCAAGCACTGAGGATTACTGACAGGCTCTGCTAGCGCTGACCCCGATGGAAAAGCACACCTAGTTTTGTGCTGTGTTGTCTGGGCATTTTGAGGCACTCTGCAGCCTGCACAACCCCTGCTATACCCAGAGATTGGTACATTGTTGGTGTGGTTACTGACCCCAACAAGCACAAGGTGCCCCTGTACTGTGCTGTGCACACGCTCCTCAGCACAGTTGTCAGGTGGCACAGCCCTTGGGATAGCAGAGAACCAAGCTCAGGGCCCTGGAGATAAACACAGCACTCTGGAGTCACACTGCATCCAGCTTATTGCTTGTTGACACCATCGCAGAGCTTCCCTAAACTCGTCTTGCTGAAATTAAAGTAACAGAATACTTTGGTTGTTTATCACTGAATATCATAATGTTGTATTGTTTAAAGGGAAAAACCTTTCATTATAATCTGAGATTATAAGGGTTGGGCTAAATTACAAGGAGAAGTATTCTCAATTACATTGTGTAAGCCTGGATAGCTCAGTGTTTAATACTGCGGGATTCCTCCAGGCTCTTCAGCTGAAATTGTTTGCTCTGTCCTTGAATCGTTTGACACGATATGCCTTTACTCCCCTGGGAACAAAGCCTGTTTTTATTACACCAACAATACAGGTGGGGTTGATCAAGAGAGATTTATGCAGATTACCATGTTTGACTGCTTTAATTATTTTATTCATATTTAAAGAAAGTGAGTTAGTCTAGTGAGTTACAATATAAGACAATGCTCTATATCTATAAGGTGATGGGAATGCAGGAGAGCTTATAAAAAGCTCAAGACTGTCACATTTGTCCTCATTTTAAATTTTGTACTGTGAAAAGTTCAAAAGCTTTTTCCACATTCTTTGTGAAGTTTTTCTCAAGTGGGGGTATTTCTGGCTCTGGTTAGAAAAGAGCTCCCTGACTTGCTAAAAATTGACAATTATGTACATTTTTTGTCTCAAACTTAAGCAAGCCTGCAGGCCCTGGGGGTGCTTAAAGTCCAGTTATGGACAGAAGATTTGTTTTAAAGAACATTTTTTAAACACTATTTGAAGTCCACGCTCTGATAGAGTGATAAGCAGTTCTGAAAAAAGAAAAAAGAATTCCTGCTTTATCTTTATATAGGTCATATTTATCTTAACTGTTCCAGAAGTTTTTTGTGATTTTGAT